GAGTTGGGCACCACCTGTCCGCCTCGCAGACACTCGCCGCTCTCGCGCTCCCCGGCTGGGCCCAGCGGGCACCGCGTTCAGAGACGTGTTCGCTCGAGAACCGTCCGCCGCCCGGTGGGGACGGGCTGCACGCACAGCCCCTGTGATGGGTGCCCACGCCCGGGTGCCCACCTCTGCCCCGGGTCGCAGCCCTCCCCGCGCGCGGGACCCTCCTCCTCCTCCGGTTCGCGCGCAAGAACCCCACCATGACTTTGACCCCAGCCCCACTTGCATTTGTTCAGTATTGGAGTCTTTCCTGGCTTCGGTGCCCCACCCAGGTACAGAGAAAGTGCTTTAAAAACAATGCTGCTGGTTTATTTGGTCTCGGGAAGGTCACGGAACTAGGAGGAATAGTGGCAGATTGTACAAATATGAACTAGGAGAAATAGTGGCAGATTGTAAAAAATAATTTGAAAGTTCAATCTTATTCCTTCTATACAAATTCTACAAATGCAACTTGTGGCTGGTTCCTTGCTATTTAGAGAAGACTGAGGAGTTAGAGAGACCCAAATGCCAGTGAGAATACAGGGTTATGTCCCTCTCGGGGCCCTGTTAACAGATTTTCAGCATCCTGCTCTGTCCTCCCCAAATCCTCTATTTCAGTCAATTTCAAACACGCTTTTGGCAGACCCGTAGTGGAAGTCATTGGTTACGAGTCAAGACGTACAAACTAAACCGTTTGAATACTAGTACGTAGTAAACAGAGTTTAGGAAGAAGATTAAGCATATCTTGCAGATATTAACATTTGCAGTGACAGCCTGAATAGTAAGTACCTTCTGCTCTAAGAAAGGAATAGGTTTTGTGTAATTCCTGTACTTAGAGAAACCTCTTCCCCGGTGTATTCACACCAACAAATGTGCACTTAGCATTGTTTATTCCTCATGGTGTTCACGTTTGTAAGCCTCTCTGTGAATGACAGTTTCCCTCAGCCCACCAGGCGGTTAATTAATGCATCATTTGTGAGGGGAGTGGCCGCTCTGGGGAGACTGACTGAGTTAGGCCTGAGACTGTGACATCTTCCTCCAGCACAGTGGCAGTGTGCTTTGTCCTGGGAACAAGTCTGTTTGGTGTTACCAGAAGTAGGTGTTTCTCTTTAAAAGCCGGTTGGTTGTAGGATGCTGACGTGTTGGAAGTCTTCTCCCCCCACCCCCCCAATATATTTGTATTGATTTCAGAGAGGATGGGAGAGGAAAACATCAATGATGAGAGAGAATCATTGATCGGCTTCCTCCTGCACAACTCCCACTGGGGATCCAGCGCCCAACCCAGGCATGTGCCCTTGACCGGAATCCAACCCGGGACCCTTCAGTCCGCAGGCTGACGCTCTATCCACGGAGCCAAACCAGCCAGGGCTCTTTTGCATTTTTATGCAGCACAAAATGTGAAACTTAACCTCTGGCAAACCCTTTTGATAGTCACGGCTTTGTTTTTTGCTCTTTCAGAGTTCTTTTCAGTTCCACGGTAGAATGCTCAGCACCTTACTAGGATGAATTGCTCATGGTTGTCATTGAGCCAGATAAGAAAGTCAGTACTGCATCACCTCTGATTGTTCTGTGTAACGCTATTATAAACATTCCTAACAGTCCTACAGTATAAAATCAGTACGTTTGATCAGGATCCCTGGATGTCTTCTAAATCATCAAAACATGAGTCAGTCGAACAGATTTAAGCATATGTTAGGTACAGAGTAAGTTCAGGAAAGAGGATTTTACTTTTTCAAATTTTTAATTGCATATTGTAACTGTAAATTAAAATAATTGATGAACTAACAGTCCCCATTCACCAACCGTTCAAGTGATGGGATATCAGAATGAGGAAAATCTATTTCCATTGCATTTGATCAACATCAGTTTAAGCTGAAATTGGAAAATTTACTTTTTTCTCCATTACATTGATTCCCAGTTTTCCAGCTGCAAACACAAAGAAGGCCATAGTAATTCTACAAAGAAAAAGTTCTAGTCCGTCCACTTAAAAGGGAGCAAGGAATAGTAGAATAATAGGTACTCTAGCCCCGTAGGGTTACAAAAACAGTTAAGAGAAAGAAAATCAAAGTAATGGTAATCATTAACAGTGTTGTAAACATAACTCTGAATTTCATAAAATTTCTTAATTCATAGGACACTTATCCTCACACTTCCCAGTGAGAACTGTCTAACATGCTTAATATATTTGTATAAAGGTGTACCATCCCTTAATATTTCTTTGATTAATTGGTGCCAAACGTAGCATGATGTTTCTGCTTGCTATATGCCAGACCCTTTTTTATTAGTTTCTTGCTTTATTTATCAAGAAACTTTTATAAGGAAGGTATTCTTGTTTCTGTTTTTCAGTAGGAAAACGAGACACAGAGAAGTTACGTAACTTGCCCAAGATCACCCAGCTAGTATTGAAACCAGATTGACAGAACTAATTGTTTTTATTTTGCTATTTTGTAAACATATATTTGATTATCTTAATTAAAACACTGTTTTGATTCTAAGTTGAAAACAGGCCATTTGTACCATTGTTATACATATATCTGCCACTAACTGCATCTGTAATGGAATAGTTCATAACTACATATATATTGTGTTTTCCTTAGGGAAATTAACAGTGATTTTACTGGCACAAAGTGTTTTGTTCTGTTCAGTGCTTTGATTATTAATACTAATGATAAGTAAATTTTTATTGACTACATAGTTACTGATTTACTGTTAGCTTTTCTGAATCATAGACAGTATTTGTCTATCATGTTTTTTAGCCTCAGTTCTTTCTTGTGACATCTAGTATTTTACATTCAGTCTTCCTGTCACTCAAAGATGCTTTTTCCCAGATTTTGTACGTGTGCAACAGTAGTATTTCTTCCTAATATACTGTAAAATTCAGCATTATTCTCAGATTTTACATTCCTATCCTCAGGTATACTAGTAAACATATCCCCCCCACACACACTCCCCAACACACACACACAAGTTCACCCTCTTAACGCTTTTTTAAAATGTTTTTCCTATTCTTGTTCATCCTTGAGGAATGAATCCTAACTGCTACTCAGTTACATAGGTATTTAGATAATCTTCAGAGAAAACTATGAGTGTGCATTTGTTTAACTCCAGATATCTGTAGAGCAATTGAATTGTTGGAAAAACTACAAAGGAGTGGGGAGGTACCACCACAGAAACTTCAGGCTTTACAAAGAGTCCTGCAAAGTGAATTCTGCAATGCTGTAAGAGAGGTGAGTACATGGGATTAAAATTTACTAAAAACTTGAGTTAATTAGACAGGATAATACTCTGAAATTTTAGTTCAGAATTTCTTAAGAAAGCAAACTTTAGAAAAACATTAGAACCTGTTTCTCATTTTTGCAATTTTTATTAGACAAACATTTCACAAAGATGCATAATTTTGCCTAAAATTTTAACACATTCATTAACTTCGTAGAACTCAAGCATGGTGTTTTCTGAGATTTAAAATCATGAACTTTGGGTTTTATAGGTATATGAACATGTCTATGAGACTGTGGACATCAGCAGCAGTCCTGAAGTGAGAGCTAATGCTACTGCAAAGGTAAAGTTTTTCATTTGCCAAAAGTGAGAGAATTCTTTTAAAATTTGAGGTTTTAATATACAATTGTTAGATTCATAATAGGTTGAAATTTTGAAAACTGGCTTTCAATCTATACTGAACCATCTCAAATACTAAGAAATAGGATCTTTTTTTATTGTCTTTACAGAATATAATCTATCATGCAGATTAGATAATACATTAAAAATACAGTTGCACACAAATAATAATACACATCCTATCTAATAAAAGCCTAGGTGGCTTTACATGCGATGTCATCACAAGATGGCCACCACAAGATGGCTGGCAGGGGAGGGCAGTTAGGTTGGACAGTCCAGCAGTGGAGGGCAGTTGGGGGCAATTGGGCTGGCAGGGAAGGGCAGTTGGGGGCGATCAGGCTGGCAGGGGAGGGCAGTTGGGGGTGATCAGGCCAGCAGGGGAGCAGTTAGGCGTCAATCATGCAGTCAGGGGAGCGGTTAGGGGGCGATCAGGCAGGCAGGCAGGCAGGCGAGCGGTTAGGAGCCCGCAGCAGTCCTGGATTGTGAGAGGGATGGCCGACTGCGGTTTACGTCCGATCCCACAGGCAGTCGGACATCCCCCGGGGGGTCCCAGATTGGAGAGGGTGCAGGTGGGCCTGAGGGACAACCCTCCCCCCGCACGAATTTTGTGCACCGGGCCTCTAGTATCATATAATACATAGTAATATACAGTATACATATTTAATTGTATCATTGATTGTGTATATTTTCATCAAAGGTCTGATGTATGAATTATCCTCATTTTATTGGTGAGGAAGCATCAGATTGTTACCTGCCTCAGAACACACAAATAGTAAATGGTAGAATTGGGTGGGGTGCTCCCCCAGGTTTCTCTTTGCTTTCTTTAACTCGGCGAAGATGTGGTAATGTCAGTAGTAAGTAATCTCTTCAGAGCTACAGGTGCCAGGCTTCCTGTGCTTTCTCTGTGGGGCTTTCCTCAATAATTCCCACATGATCTCAATATCCATGTGTAGTTAGAATAAGTTAATGTCAGTAGAAAGTGATTTATATTCGAATTAAATATAATTATTATTTATTAGCAAGTAATTTTTCATTGATAGTTACTGATTCACAAAAGGAAATACTGGATTCTCTGTTGAATACAAACACTTAAACATGTGGGTGTAGTTTGACAGAGTAGAGAAAAACATAGAAACTTGGCTTTTATTCCTGAGTTATGTGACTTTCATAGCTTACTAAGTATCTGAGCTTTAAATCTAGTAGTAACTGTAGATAGTTAACTAAAGCAACAAGAAAGTCCATGTTTATATGTACTCTTTTTCTCAATATTGAGTTATTTCTTGATGAGTTATTTAGTGTAAAGAACAAATGGTACAGCAGTCAGATGACTGCATGTAGGAACACCCACCCACCTCCTTACAGGTTATGTAGATGTGTTGCGTCCTGCACAAAGGCCTTTGAAAGAGCTGAGCTGTCCAGCCCCAGAGCTCAGCCTGCTGGCACCTGGGGGAGAGGCTCTCCTCTTTAGTGGCAGCGCTCATTTGCTGAGCAAGCCTGCCTGCCAAGTGCTGCACAGCAGTTCTGGCAACTGGATGGCCTGACCTGAACACTCCTACATAGTCCCAGAGTATGCTTTCCAGCCGCCGCCTCTAGAACACCATTCTCCTAGCTCACCTGCTCAGAACTGCCAATGCATTTGTGGGTATTCAAACATCAAATGTATGCGCCTCAAAAATAGGTAAAAGGAGATGAAAGAGCTGAAGTAAACAAAGGCGATATATTTAAACATGTAAAATTTCCTTTCAGGCTACTGTTGCTGCATTTGCTGCCAGCGAAGGACATTCTCATCCTCGAGTTGTTGAGCTTCCAAAAACAGAAGAGGGCCTTGGGTTCAATATCATGGGAGGCAAAGAACAGAACTCTCCAATCTATATATCTCGAATAATTCCAGGAGGAATTGCTGATAGACATGGGGGCCTCAAGCGAGGAGATCAACTTCTCTCTGTTAATGGAGTGGTAAGGATGTTTTATTTCTATTTGCAGTAATGTGTTGTGACCACTTGGGGGAGTATATGAGTTATACAAACAGAAGATATAGGGGGGCACGTCGGTTCACGAGCCACATGCGGCTCTTTGGCCCCTGGGCCAAAGAGCCACATCTGGCTCTCGAGCCGCGGTTTGCCAAGCCACAGTTTGCCAACCACTGCCTTAGAGGGATCCAAGGCAGTACTATTTAGTACAGTGATAAAGTTTAAAGCACTTTCTGTGTGTTTAGCTTTTTTCCAATGAAAACTGGCAAAACTTACTGTGATTTTTATGAAGTGATTAAGCTGTTTAGTAGTTAAGGCAGTATGTTAAATTAGAAGTCTACCCCTCATTTTAGTCATATAGAATGGTGGAATAATAGGGCATGTAGACTGATGTGCTAATTATTTGGATCTTTGAAACCAGTTCTTGGACTACAAACAGAGTATTATTCAGCCGAGGATTTCACACTGATTAAAATGGTAAAGCTAGGTTATTTCATAAGTTTATAGTGTTGAAATGATAAAACATTAAAACTTTTTTACTTACATGTATTTTTAAGCATTTTTGCCTTTTGAATGAATTGCAAAACCTATATATTAATTGTGTGTGTGTGTTTTTTTTTCTAGAGTGTGGAAGGAGAACATCACGAAAAAGCTGTAGAACTGCTAAAAGCAGCTCAAGGAAAGGTTAAATTAGTAGTGCGATATACACCTAAGGTCTTAGAAGAAATGGAGTCACGTTTTGAAAAAATGAGATCAGCCAAACGCAGGCAGCAGACCTAATGCAGTTCGGAACTTTATATTCCATTTTGCTTTTAGCTAGAGAAGTTTTACTGGTGACCTACTGATGGCCGCAGTGCCAACAATTATAAGGAAAAACAAACTTCCCGTGAAATGCTCCTTGCCATTTTATAAATGCCTATTTTAAAATCATTTGTGGTTCCAGAGATGCATACACTTTTTTCTGACAGGAAAAAGTAAAAGGTGATGAGGGCAATTTTGTCCTGCTCTTTTTACAGGCCTTTTTCAAATGAAGATTTTGTCATAAAGTTGTTATAGATTTTTAATAATGCTTTTTAAATATTAAGATGTACTTTTACATTCTTAATCTTTTTTTAGAAAAAAAAAGTTCTTTGTTTGATGCTTATTTAAAAATAATAGTTCTCAAATTCTTTATTTGCTTTTTTTTAACCTGTAAAATTCCTTTATAGTTTTCCAAAAAAAATTAAACATGACAGTTTCAGCTACAGCAGCTCATTACATTGTCAGTGTTAACATCACTGCTGCATTTTGTACTTTGAACACACACATAATATATATAATCATAGGTAAGTCATAACTCAGCACAGTGGAAGTTTTTTACTTTTATTTAAACATAATGTATAGTGAATACTCATTTGTACTGATTTATAAAAGTAAGTTTTTAAACACTGAAACAATCATTGGTAAAATATGTATTCTTTCATAGTGTTTGAGCAGAAAAGCAAAAGGATGTAATTTGTGTGTTAGCATTACTGATTAGATCTATTTATATTCAACAGTATGTCAAATTACAAATGCTAAAACAGGTTCAGGTTTCATCTTTTGCAATTTTTTTTAATGCTACTCATTTCTATTTAAATATATTTTTTATATTTTAGTCCTTCCATTCCTAGAGATGAGCCATTTCGTTTGTGGTGGGAAATAGCAGAAGCAAAGAAGAAAAAGTAATACTTTAACCTCATTAGTCTCAAGAGTTAACACACTTTTACCAGCTCAGTTTAAAGCATTGATTTTAAATAGGTTGATTATAGGAGGATATATGTAATAAGATGTATAGAAATTATGAGGTGATGTGTTCATAAGAATCTGCAGACTGTCGAGATGAATACAAACTTAATCATGTTAAAATGGTTTGATTTAGAGATGGGATCTTTGTTTATGATTCAATATGATGGGAATTGTGAGAGATACTTTCAGTTGTCCACTGGATGTCACTGTTTTACTGAAAGGCAGCTATTAGTGAAGGACTGTGACGGGACTCTTTTTAAAGGCTGGAATTAAAGAATTGAGGATCATTTTTAGTCAATAACTTAGGAACATTTTTAAGTGAGAGATGCTAAAAGGAAGGTAGTGGTTTGAAATATATAAGGAACTTAGACCCTGTATAAGAAGTGGGCATTTTAAAACATTCCTTCAAGAAGACTATAAATGTATACTTTTTCCTGCATGTTTGTGAGCATTGTGAGTCTTAAAAGATTATTCCAGTTTTCAGTGTTTTTTTCAGAATAAAAGTCAATTGGCATTGTTATTTATCATTTAGGTATTGAACACTGGATTGCATGGTTGGATGTGTCTTTAGTCCACTACAAAATGTGCTTGTTATTAATAGGAATGTTGTTAAATTGTATATTTTCAAAATTAATAATTTTTTTAAAATGTTGAGACCAAAGTAGTGTAGAAGAATTATGGACTTAATTTAATTGTAAAATTATTAGAGGTATTTGTTGTAGAGCTTTATATATTAAAGAGAGATATTGGTGCATATAAAACAGTAATGTTGTTATGCTCGTGTTCTTGCATTACAAAGTAAACCCTAAAGAAACCTTATTTTAGTATAGCTACAGCTGCAGTAGCTTTTAAGGGCGTGTCAACATTTCATTATAAATTATAGCTTCCTGGTTCAGTATCTCAGCTGTTTCAGAACTTGCAGCCAAGTTAAATCTTTTTTGGTGTTGAAACTTAATAAGTTGAGTAAGCTATTTTTTTTTCTTCTACAGTAATCCACAATCTGTTCTTTGTGTGGGTTGGCACTTATTTATAATTCTTAAAATAAAGATAGCTTAAAAGAGCCAAATACAGTAGTTTTGCTTGCTACTGTTGAGCATGAATAGCAGTAGTTTGTTTTTGTTAAAAAGTTTTCATAGTGTATCCCAGAATTTTAAATTCTTTCCATAGAAGAATTCAATTATTCAGTGGCAAGGATGTACAGTAAATAGTAGTTTGCTATCATGAGGAAATGAAGGAATTTTTCATTTTATAAATAAATGTATGATTCATGAACATAACCAAGCACGTAGTAAGTATATAATAGGTGTTTGATTTGTGAAATATAAATATAATTATCCCCTCCCCAGTTTCCTTTTTTTTTTTTTTTTGTATTTCAAAATGGGTTGATTCTGAACCTTAGCCCCATATTAGAACATCCTGCAGACCTTTAAAAAAGATTCATACCTGAGTCCCATCCCACACCAACTAAATCAGAATTTCTGGGGTTGGGGCCAGATTCTTGGTTTTTTAAAGCTTTTCCTGTGGTTCTGAATGACACATACGGTTGAGAATCATTAATTTCCCCTTTATAAAATGCTCTAAATACACTGGACTGTGTTTGGAAATATCAGAATAGAACAATTTACAGCTACTATTAAGTAGCAAATATAATGATTGGTTATATTTCTTTAGGAATAAAAGGTACTTGGCATTCTTTATTTGGGAAATAATTATAGTCTTTTTTAAAAAATAGTAATAAAATCTGCAAATAATTTAAACATAAACTTTTAACGTCTGCCATCTTTTTGCTCTCTTTGCTTTTTTAAAATTTACAATGATAAATGTTTATCATTTTGGAAAGCATGTTTAAAAATTGCAGATGAGAAATAAAGTCATTGATAATTATGTGTTGTCTTAACATGGACACTTTATCTGTTAGCAATATACTAGATTATAGTGGCCTAGTTCTTTGGGGTTTGATAATTCAAATGTGTTTTTTTAAATTGTCTTCTAAATTTTTGGAAATTATTTTGTTAAGTACTTAACATAGTTTGGCTCAAGTACTTTGTTTACAATTTAAATGGATATTATAGCATTTAATGGAAGAAATGGTTATGGTTTATTTGAGAAGAATGTCAGCATGACTTGGTGTAGACTTAAAAGAATACATGTGAATATTTTATAATGTGGAATGGTCATTGAAATATCAAGGTCTCGAGTAATTGTATTTCCTGAATAAATGTATGTTTGAATTTTCTAACTTATATTTTGTTGTCTCCTCTGATAACAACATTTCCAAACTTTCACTAATAGTGTTTTTTCAGAGGTCATTGTATTTCTGTGATAGTTAAATAGAGAAAAACACAAAACAAATTGCTTGCTCATTAATTTTTCAAGAACTTCCAAAATGATTTGTATCGACATAGTTTTAAAAATACTAGCGAGCAGCCTAGCGGGCATGGCTCAGCACTTGAACATCAACCCAGGAACTAAAAGGTCACCGGTTCGATTCCAGGTCAGGGCACATGCCCAGGTTGTGGGCTCAGTCCCCAAAAGGGGACGTGCAGGAGGCAGCCCATCTATAATATTCCCCTCTCATTGATGTTTCTATCCCTTTCCCTTCCTCTCTCTTTAAAATCCATAAAGACATTCTAAAAAATATTAGCAAGCAGTATTCTTTGACTTTATAGTTTGAGGTAAATAGAATATTCAAAATGGATTTAAGACTTTCAATACATGACTTCATTTACCAATTCTGATTCTAAGGCTTATTTAAAATAAATTTGTATTATGTTCTTTGGATTAAAAAAATTAATATAACTACAGTAGATATGTTTCTGAAAGCTATGTATAAAATAACTTAAATAAGGTAAAAGTAAAATCTGGGTGGGTTACTGGAATGAAACTTCAAATTCTTACATTTTCCTTCGTCTTTCATAAAACATGACTACAGAAAAGTTACCTTGTGTTCAGAGAGGCGGAACAGCAGGTGACTGAGAACACAGAGTCTGGAAACTGACTGCCCTGGTTTCAATCCCAGGTTCACTGTTACTGTTACTGCACAAGTTTCTTAACTTCCCTGAGCCTTAGTTCCCTCAGCTGTCGTGTAATAAAAATGCCTGTAAGTGTCATTACCTGTAAAGCTCTTAAAAAGGTGCCTGGTATAGGATATATTTGTGTTCGCTATTATTTTCATGTAAAGTAGCATCAGGATCTTAACTAAAGGACGACATTGTGGCCAGTAATTAAAATTAGCAAGTTGTTATTTTTGATGCCAAGAAAAAGAAAAAAGATACCCTTAAAAACTTTAAAAGGAGAAAGATTCATAAGGAATTTTAAGATTATTGTCCACTCTGAACAAACTCCTAGAATTCTAAAATCATCGAGGTTCAGGGGTGGGTGGGGGGAGTTGAAATCATATGTAGAATGAAAAATAAGAATGTCTCATTAAGGAACCTGAATCAGAAAAGCAATTGGTAGGGGGGCTGTGACCCAGTTCTAGAGACAATGGGTTGTTGGAATGGTTGTTGGAATCACAATACAAGGTGTGATTCACTATCATGAACTTTTAAAAGGCATGAAATGTACCGAGCAGGGAGGGGTACAACAAAAAGCATTTATTAGCCCCCAGTTTCTTCAAAATTTCGGTAGACCAGAATACCTGTTCTCTGTCTTCCAGTTCTGGTTTTGTTGTATTCACTATCAGTGATTATTCTGGTTTTAATATAGTGAAGTGACCAAAGTTTTTGTACATTTATTTCTGTGGTGGCAGAAAATCTCCTCCTGATGAAATCTTTAAGACTATATAAACCGCAGAAGGCGAATTCATACAGAGGCTGTTTTTCATTTTTATTCCTTTGATTTTAAACTTTTAAGAAAAGAACCAGTGCATCATGGCAAGTATGTATAAGAGCTCTTTCTCTCATTCTCATCACCTACGGAAGTATCTTTTGGACACAGTGATGATTTGGTCCTTTTTATAAAGTTTTCTGTAGCAGAGGAAGTGTGGGAGAATTCTAATGTGTTACAATCTCCAGAATTGTTTTGATGGGGTAAAAAGAAAATGTCGCCATTGGCTGCAGGTAAGTTCCCTTTAAATGGCAGTATTACTAAAAGTAATTCATCAGCAAGTAACAAAAACCAAACCTTTAAGTTTGTCCGTGTTTTTATTTGGGAAGGAAATATAATCTGAAAGCATGAAATAGCCAAGGAAAATTTTTATGTCTGGTACCTAATATACTTTGAACCCATAGTTTAGATAAATACTAACTTTTTGACTTTTGTGTTTTAAGCTCTTATGGGTTGAATTGAGTCCATCGGTCCCTCCCCACTCCAAAAAAGAAAAGAAAAAAAGGTATTTTGGAGTCCTAACCCCTCAGAATGCCTTTACAGAGATAAACAGGGTGGGCTAATGGTGTCCTTATTAAAAGAAATTCAGACACAGACACACCCAAGGAGAAGACTATGGGAAGATGCAGGCAGAGATTAGGGTGATGCTTCTACAAAGAAGAAATGCCAAAGATGGCTAGCATACTACCAAGTATGGAGAGGCATGAACAGATTTTCCCTCAGTCCTCAAAAGGAACCAATCCTCCAAAAACCTTGATCTTGAACTTACAGCCTCTAGAACTGAAATTTCTCATTGTTTTAACCACCCAGATTGTGGTACTTTGTTATGGCAGCCCTAGAAAACCAGTTCATAGGAAATTCTATGGTTTGATAAATGGCATTAGCAAAAATGATAGGGCCCCTCCCTTGTGCACATGTTCCAGTAGAAGTGGTTTGGGTTAAGAAAGGATGGAGATTCCTGCCTTGGGATAAAGGAATGTTAGGTTCTTTGTTTCCTGTTGTTGAACTGCCTCTTTGGACACCTGTACAACCCTGTGATTGAGCTCCTGCCTCCACGTGGCCACCTTGGCTCAATAGCCCCTAAGAACTGAATGTCCTCGTGTTAGGCTGCCAGTTAAAAATACAAATAATTTTGTGAGCAGAATGTCTAACAAAATCAAAATAAATTTTTAAACGACCATTTAAACCGTTTTTTTAAATTTGCAAATATTGCCCTGGCTGAGTAGCTCAGTTACAGCATCTCCTGATACACCAAGGTTACAGTTTTATCCCTTGTCAGGGCACATACAAGAATCAACCAATGAATGTATAAGTGAAACAAATCTCTGTGTCAAAAAAAAATCTGCAAATGTTGGCAGAATTGAATTAAAAAACATTTGGTTTATACTACGAATATTTTTGCTTTAAAACTGATTGAGGAGTTCTGTAAATGAATAGAACCTTACAAATTCAGTACATCCTGTATAATTACCTTTTTATATTTTACCACAAGGTGGCACTAAAGTGCTATTGTTTCTGTTTTAGAATGTTCCAGCAGTTTCTGCCAATTAAAAACCAGGCTTACCCTTTAAAAAGTACCCATCTTTTCTTTTAAACTCAAAAGAAATAGAGAGAGATATACTGGAAATTATTTTTGGCTTTACATCTCTTAGATACCTTCATCCATGCTCAAATAGGTGTTTGATCAAGAAAAAAGTCATTTAAGAGGACTGTGAGTTTTTATCTTTTCCATAACAATTAAAGATACAAATTAAACCAAGTATAGAGTAGAAAGAGCAATTGGCCTAGATTCAGTGGTTCTCAACCTTCCTAATGTCATGACCCTTTAATACAGTTCATGTTGTGGTGACCCCCAACCATAAAATTATTTTCGTTGCTACTTCATAACTAATTTTGCTACTGTTATGAATTGTAATGTAAATACCTGATATGCAGGATGTATTTTCATTGTTCTCGACCCACAGGTTGAGAACCGCTGGCATAGATATGAGCTCCAGTTCTGCCAATAACTAGGTGTACTGCCTTGGGTTATTTAATTATCATCTTCGGGTCTGGTTTCTCACTAGTAAATGAGATTTAACACATGATATCCAAAATTCCTCCTATTTCTGAGGATTTAAAAAGTATTGTGGAGAAAGAGTTTGGCACAACGTAAGGCAGAATTTTCTTTCAGCCAGAGCTGCCCCTAGAATAGATGGACTCTGCTACCCATGGCCCTGTGAGTGCAGTCACCCTAAATGGATCTGAGAGCAATAAGGATACTGTTGAGCATTCTTAAGTCCTAGGTAGGTGATGGAACTAGTCTTAAGGTCCTTTCTCACCCTAAGTTTCTAAATTCTATCAGTTTAATTGAACTGTGAGCTGCTTGAAGGGAGGGACTCTGTATCATACCATATATCCTGAGGTGCCATGAATAGTGCCTCTCAAATTTCTGAATGTAGGGAGACTAATTTAACAGTCCTGCTGGAAAGTTCTTCATCACCTGTTGTGTCCCCCAGGCTGAGCACAATAGAGGTACTAAGGCAGGCCTGCCCAGGGACAGGGGACTCCTCTCCTGGCTGACTTCATCTCACCGAACTCTGACAGAATTGCTCTGCAGTCTACACTCACCCAATCTTTTTTCTTTCCTTCTCTCCTTGACGTGGAGTCAAAACTGCATCTTGGTCTCATGGCTCTAGAAGTCTCCCTCGCTCTCTCTCCGTTTTTCCTTACAAACATTTCCCCTAAGAAATCTCTTGCATGAGCAATCCCATATTGGTGTCTGATTCTTGAAGGACCCAAATTTGCACCATCTTCTAGCAGGGTTGCTATATCCGAATCAGGATATTTAGAATGCAGGGCCTCATCCAAAATCTAATTCAGAATCAATGGAAATGAGATGTCTGTTTTTAAAATCTTCCCCAAGAGATTTACATGTAGACTGGCCTGAATTACTCTACTCTTCAGTCGCTAGTAGGAGTAGGTTCTGAGTGAATACTTTGACAAATTCTCAGCATGACTAGGTGGCCATCTTCCCAGTTTTCAATGGTGATTTTTCTGCCTTCACTTTCCTATTACAACATCTGGTTTCTCTAATACTCATTTAATTTTATTTTTGTCTTCTTTTTCAGTAGTTTCTGCGCTCACACCTTGGGATTCGTATGTGGTTCTTGTAACTCAGTCGTTGTTCCCTTGAGTCTCATTCTCCTCTTGGGTTAGATTTGAAAGGGCAAGATCAGGAAAAGAAAATCAGATTTAGAAAGAATTGAGCACCCATGGGAGCATATTTCTGATATTTATCCTAATGTCTTGAAATTTTAAGTCAATATGGGCCTTTAGAAGTAATGAAAAGGGTATCACAGCAGGTCAGGAGACTAAGAAACTTTTCGGTGGTGCTGTTTTAAAAAGGTCCATCTTCAAGAATGGCCTTTT